TTTACGATTTAAGATGAATTATTGATTTAACTAAATCAATGTTGGTTAAGATAGAATTTATGTGTATAACAGAAGAGAAAAAAAATAATAAAAAAGAGACTTTGAGGGGTATATAGATCATTTCACATCTATCAGTAATGGTATTAACAGTCACAACCAGGGGCGGAGGGACATTGGGCTTAGGGGGGTCACGTGCCCCCCTGACTTTTGAAATTATTGTTATTATTATTTTTTATTTTTTATTTTTTATTTTTTAATTAAGTGTGGTCTGCCTTGTGCCCCTCCTCTAATACACAATTTCAAACCCAACTAACCACTGACACACACACACACCACACACGACGCACCACGCTTATATATTTTATTTATTTTCTTATTATTATTATTATTATTTTTTTTTTGGAATCTCAATCCCAATCCTAATTAAATACTAACACAATTTTTTTTTAGGTGAGTACACACAACTCCAATTGCAGCAAGGTTAAAACTCTAAAACCTTAAAAGCGTATGAAATTCTTTATTTTTTTTTATTTATTCACAATACTTGTGAAGTATCTTCGTATTTTCTCTGTCTTCTTTGTCTCCCTTTGTTACTTTGCAATTTACCGACTCGCAATTCACTAAATTAGGATCACATAGCACAGATTTGGGACCACACTATAACTTTGATATCTTTTCTTCATTGTTTACAGGTAACTTTATTTTTATTTTTTTACTTTTAAATAAAAATTATGAGTATTAATTTATAATTATTTGTTAAGTTTTGATTTGTAAAAAAAATTTATTTGTTATTATTTATGTTAAAATAAGAGATTTTGATATGCTAAAATTATGAATCTTAATTGGTGGTGATTCTTATTAAAATTAGGGATTTTGGTTTGTTGTTGTTTGTGCTAAAATTAGGGATTTGATTTATGCTAAAATTAAAAATATTAATTTGCAATAATTAAAATTTAAATTAGGAATTTTGATTTGTTATAATTTGTGCTAAGATTAAAAATTTAGATTTGTTGTGATTTGTACTAATTTAAATTTTTTGATTTGTATTAAAATTGGAGATTTTGATTTGTGGGGAGTTTGAGATTTTGATTATGAATTTTTATTTTGATTTTTGGTTTTTCCAAATAGTCATGGAGCAATATTTCAAAAGAAAATCAAAGTTGGAATCATCTTTTCTCAAGAAAAATATGATAATTATTCTTTTGCAAAACAAAGTCGCATAGAAATCAACTTAATAGACCTTCCTGCCGATCCAGGACTACGACCTCGGATTATGGACTATAATGCTAATGATCGAGACCGAATTCGTAGGGCATATCTACAAAAAAGTCCTTGTCAACCTCGTGATCATAATTTTCCACAAAAATCATTTGGACAAAAATTACGGCGATTTAATCAGGCTTTGTTTAGTGAATTTCCTAATTGGTTGGAGTATAGCGTAGCAAAAGATGCAGCATTTTGTTTATGTTGTTATCTTTTCAAACCCGATATTGGAGATCAAGCTGGTGGTGATTCTTTTGTTGGTGAGGGTTTCTCAAATTAGAAGAAAAAAAAAAATTCAGACTCATGTTGGAGGTCCCAATAGTGCTCATAATCAAGCTTCGAGTAAATGTCAAGACTTGTTAAACCAAAACCAACATATTGAAACGATTTTTTTCAAACAATCTGATCAAGCTCGAATTGAGTATCAAACCCGTTTGAATTCATCAGTTGATTGTGTTAAATTTCTTCTAAGACAAAGACTTGTGTTTCGTGGGCATGATGAATCTGAAAATTCAAGTAACCAAGGAAATTTTCTTGAACTTCTCAAGTTTCTTGCTGATCATAATGAAGATGTCAAAGTGGTTACATTGAGCAATGCTCCTCAAAATCTCAAGTTGACATCTCCTGATATTCAAAAAGGCATTGTAAATGTGGCCGCATTTGAAACTATCAATGTGATTATTAGAGATTTTGGTGATGCACTTTTTTCTATTTTGATTGATGAAGCCCGTGACATATCAATTAAGGAACAAATGGGAGTTGTAATACGATATGTTGACAAAAAAGGCCAAGTGATTGAGCACTTTTTGGGTATTGAGCATGTTGCTAATACGAATGCTCCGTCACTTAAACAAGCTATGGAAAATTTATTCTCCAGACTTGGATTGAGTATTTCCAGATTGCAGGGTCAAGGATATGATGGGACTAGTAATATGCAAAGTGAGTTCAATGGTCTTAAAACACTTATACTGAAAGAGAATCCTTATGCATATTATGTTCATTGTTTTGCCCATCAATTGCAATTGGCACTTGTAGCCGTGCCAAATAATCATAATCAAATTGCTTTACTTTTCACTTTGGTTTCTAATGTGGTGAATGTTGTTGGAGCATCATGTAAACGCCGAGATACTGTTAGGGAGAAGCAAGCTACAAAAGTTGCTGAGGCACTTAATACTGGAAATCTATCTAGTGGGCAAGGCTTAAATCAAGAAACTAATCTTAAACGTGCTGGTGATACACGTTGGGGTTCACACTATGGTACTTTAGTCAGCTTGGCTAGTATGTTTTCAACAGTGATTGATGTGCTTTAAATGATTTCGGAGGATGGTTCAAATTCAGAACAACGAGCAGAAGCAAATGTATTGTTGGACTCAATTCAATAATTTGAGTTTGTATTCAACCTTCATTTGATGAAAACAATATTGGCTATTACAAGTGAGTTATCGCAAGCACTACAAAGGAAAGATCAAGATATCGTTAATGCCATGAATTTAGTTCAAATTTCTAAAGTACGGCTCCGAAAGATGAGGGAGAGTGGGTAGACAACTTTACTTGATGATATTTTGTCTTTTTGTGAAAAGCATGAAATTGATATTCCCCAAATGGAAGATATGTTTGTAGCTCGAGGGAGAAAAAGACACAATGCTCAAGAAATTACAAACTTACATCACTATCGCGCTGAGCTATTCTACACTATTTTGGATATGCAAGTTCAAGAACTAAATGCTCGGTTCACTGAGTCGAATACTGATTTGTTACTTTGTGTGGCATGTTTGAATCTATCTAACTCTTTCTCTAGTTTTGACAAGAAAAAGTTAATTCATCTTGCTGAATTTTATCCAAAAGAATTTTCTTCAGTAGAGCTCATGGTACTTAATGATCAACTTGATACATATATTATCGACATGCTATCCAGTAGTGAGTTCTCAATGTTGAATGGAATTGCCGATCTTGCTAAGAAATTTGTAGAGACAAGAAGAGACAAAGTATATCCATTGGTGTATTTGCTCTTGACTTTAGCAGTAATCTTACATGTTGCAACTGCTATTGTTGAGAGGGTATTTTCAACTATGAATATTGTGAAGAATCGGTTGCGGAACCGAATGGGTGATGAATAGATGAATGATAGCTTGGTTGTCTACATTGAGAGAGATATTTTTGATGGCATTGACAATGATACAATTATGAAAAGATTTCAAAAGATGAAAACTTGTCGGGATCAATTGTAAAAGTTTAAAATTTAAAACTTTTTGTAATGGATATTAATTTTTAATGTTTAACATTAGTTCGAAAAATTATTATTATGTTATTGTTATTGATTGGGGAAGAAAAATTTTGAGATTGTAATTAATGGGTGCCCCCCATATTAAATTTCTGGCTCCGCCACTGGTCACAATCACAGGGAAAAATTCTATTTCCACACACTATTTCCTCTCTTTCCACATCTTTTCTCAATATACACACTAAATAAATTTAAATTATCAACTTTCACTCAATACGCATCCTACCATACCAAAAATACCCTTATCATCTTCATCCTCCAAATCCTAACCCTATACCACCGTTGTTGCCGCCGCCGCCGGCACGTCTACTACTCCCAGCAACCTAAGCCCCAGCCAATTAAGTATCGAGGAGTGAAACATCTATCAGACATGATGGTCCACTACTATAAGATTGCCCAAACATAGCACTGTTGGAGATGTTATTAATGACCTTAAGACGAAGGTAAAACCTTTTGTTTCTGGTGGAACATGTTTCGCATATTTTTGCATAGATGCGCCTCTATTGATTGGATTACAATAATATTTTTCTAACCTCTGTGCAAAAGTATACTTTTTCTTATATTTACAATTACATAAATTTGTTTGAGAATTTTTTAATTTTGCTCGCAGTTCATATACTTGTTTGCAGTTCATATACTCGGCCATGGATAGTGATGGTGGAAACTGATGGTTTGAGAGAGTTAGAGTTAGGGTTTTGGAAAAGGGATATTTTGGTAATTTAATTTTAAGACAAAAATATATTTAAAAAAAATCATTAAGTGTATGAAAAGAGAGGAAGTAGTGCGTGGAAATAGAATTACCCAACCATGGGCTGTCTGACCATGTTTGAACCATAAGGGGTAAAATGCTTTGGCCTCAAATGACAATGGGGTAAAGTGAATTTTGCCTTATATAAATAATAACAGCAACACTGATTCATATTCCAAAACTAGAAATAAAATATCTGATAGTCAAAATCTTTCTTGTAAAATGCAGAGAACAAATTTCTATCAAGTGTCAAACAAGATATCTAATAGCTTCTCTCTAATCACACAAAATTTATTTTTGTTTTCAGAAACATCATTCGTTCTAGATGCTCAGATAAATATACAAATCAAAGATAATTTTGGTCCTCCAAGTATTACCAGAGCGATCAATGGAAATCTACATAAATAGAACGACAAAAACACAAATTGATTCTGCCTAAACCTTTCTTATAAAAATGCAAAAAAAAACAAGTTTTTGTCAGATGGAAAGCCTCCTCATGATTCATCGAGAACACACTTGATTACTAGCAACAATGATCAAAACACACACCCAATCAATCACCAAACAAAAAGATAAAAAAAATTTCCCCTTATACCGCACATTTTAAAGCAAGATTACTAAAAAAAAAATGAGACAAATAGCGAAAACCCTAGTAGATATTCGACGAAGAACACACAAACATAGAGAGAGAGAGAGAGAGAGAGATACCTTGAGAAGGTGAGAGATGGATGTAGAAATTGAGGGACGGAGGAGAGACTCAGAAACACAAGGCCGCACGGAGATATGCAAACGGTGGAGTTTCAATTTTAATGGTGGAGTTGGAGGAGATACAATTTCAGAAATGTAGGGTGTGTTTTTTTTCCCGAGAGAGTGATTTTCAAAAAAAAAAAATAAAAAAAAAAAAAAAAAAGAAAATTGAGGAGACGGTTTAGAAAAAAAAAAAATAGTTTGTTTAGTTGTAGATTTTGAGAGTAGTTTTGAAATTTGGAATGTTTTGATATTTTATTGTAATTTAGCCTCCGTTTGGGAAGTGGGTTGGCTTTTTGGCTTTTTGCCTATTTTAGCCTGGGCTATTTTAGCCTGGTTTGGGAAGGGCTTTTTGGCTTTTTGGCTTTTTTGGCTTTTTTTGTGAGGGAGGATTGTAATGATTATGAGTTGGATTTGATGTTTTGTTTTTTGTGGCTAAAATAGCCTATTTTGTTTTTTGTGACTATTTTAGCCCCAAACCAAGTTCCCAAACAAAGGCTTAGTAGACATATATAAGAGAAAAAACGATTAAAAATGAGAGGGAAAAAAAATGACTGATTAATGTGTAATTGGAGAAAATAATTTTAAAATTTTTTTAAGAAAAATTACAAATCAAACTAAATTTTGAAAAAAAATTCAGAAACAACTAAAAACAAACCAACAAGCCCGTCGTAATTTCAGATATTTTAATGCACCTCCTCGGACAAGTTATTTGGTAGATTTATATGGATGGATATGGGTAGCAAAATCGAATAGTTCACTCCGTTTGGATTCCTGGATTTCTCGAGAAAAGTAAAGAAAATGGGAGAAAGAAATTGGCTGGGGCTTGCCTCCGGTCTCCCATCTGGACTGGAGGGTCCAGTCCAGTCTATTAGACCTACTTTTTGAATTTTTTTTGATAATTTGAATAGGCTTGGCTTCTGTCCAGTGCTTAATCGGACTGGACCGTGCTGTTGGGCCCGTGAAGGCCCATCACAGGTCCCGTTTTTGATAATCTGAACCGTTGAATATGTAGAATTCATCGAGTACTATAAGCCTGTTAAAAATCACGTTAATCGGATATCGGTAGCTATGTGATCAAATCAGTTTTGTATAAAAAAAAATGAACGGTGAATAAATTAACGGTTGACAAAAATCTGATTTGATTACATAGCTACCGATATCCGATTAACGTGATTTTTTACAGGCTTATAGTACTCGACGAGTTCCACACATTGAACGGTTCAGATTATCAAAACGAGATCCGTGGTGGGCCCCCACGGGCCCAACAGCACGGTCTAGTCCGATTAAGGACTGGACAGAAGCCAACGCCAATTTGAATTGTTCATATTTTAGAGTTTGTTGAATACATTTTCTCTGTAAAAAATCACGTCAATCGGATAACGGATACTACGTATTCAGATCACTTTTTTTATGAACCATTAATTTTCTGACAGTCCATTTTTTTTCCAGACAAAAGTTATCCGAATACATAGTATCCGTTATCCGATCGATATAAGTTTTTACAAGAATAATTTATCCAACAAATCCTAAAATGTGAACGGTTCTAATTATTGAAAAGTGATCCATAAGTGGGCTCAATAGGCCGAACTAGACCGGACTATCCCAGATCTAGACTGGAACCAAAGAAATTACTCCTTATAAAAAAAATTACTAAGGTACATTACAAATATATATTTTTTTTAAATATAAATTATTCTTTTAATTTTAAAAATTACATCCCGTCCTTTGATGTTTTTAATTTCATAACAAATAGTTATTTTTAATAATAAATTATTAAGTTAATTAATAATTTTTAATTATGTAATAAATGTATTTTAATTAATAATTCAAATAATTTTATTACTATGTAAGAAAACAGTTAAAAATTTTATTTTCCAAGAAAATATTTGTAATTTTCTAAATTATAAGTAAATCTTAAATGGTGTATTTGTAATTTATCCAAAATTATAATAGACATCAAAATTACTCTTTATAAAAACTTATAATACTTAAATTATTTTTCTAAATATAAAATAAATAATATATATATATATATATATGTATTTTCTTTTAATCATTGTTCATCCAAACAAGAAAGTAATAAAATACAAATTTTTTTTTTTTTTTTTTTTTTTTTGTCATGTAATTGAGAAATTCGAATCATGTCATTTCTATTTCCATCTCTAAATTCAAACGAAAGGATTTAAGAATAAAATGTAAAGGGTTACTAAAACTTTATTTGGTTGTTAATTTTAAAATCTTAGAATTAATTAATTGAAATGTGCATAAATTAATCCGAACATTCGATTATAAATAGTAATAAAAAAATATATAGAAAAATACATTATTACATTTTACAAATAAACTAATAATAAATAATAAAAAGGATAAATTACTTTTACTTTTAGTTTTAGAAATTTATTGCGTTCATGAAAAAAATTATGATTTTAATTATTAATAATTATAAAATTTATCACTTATTTATAATTATTTTTTAAAACTTAACTAAAATTTTTCCATACAAAAATGTAAGAATGTGATCACACATTCCATGTACTTGAGTGTTTATTATTATTTTTACACAACTCAATGGTGGTGGTGGTGTTTACATTTTTTATTTTAAGTTAATATACATTTGCAGAAAGAAGTAAAAAAAATAAAAAATAAATATAAATAAATTACGAATCTTGTTATGTATTTTTTTTTATACATATTACACAAAAACCGATAGTATGTAATTTTCTTGTAGAGTTTGTAGTTGAGAAATAAAATTTTACATTTTGTGATAATGTTATGTATTTTTATAATAATATTACATATTTTTTTTGGGATAAATTTTATTGACCTTGCTTGAGATTTAAAAAAAATACAATAAAACTCGTAGTTTTGGCATGTTTACAATGATCTCCTCTTAATGCAGGTAGTGCAAAAATATAAAAATGAACAATGATAGAAACGATAACATCAATTTTTTTCATCTATATAACTAAGAAATTATTATATAATAGAAATGATATAATATCATTTTTTTTATCTATATACTAGCAAATTATTGATAAAAATATGTTTTTTGAACCTCAAGGGAGGTAGTGTAATGAGAAATTTTTTTTAAGGTCCTAATATTAAGTTTTATAATTTAAAACGACATATAATAATTTCATAATAATTGAGATCCCTCAACATTTTCACAATGAAAATTTGACTCAAATATATTTGTGCCTGACTTAGAGAAATTTTGGCCTGATTTAGGAAGAAAAAGGTTGACCCTAACACAAAGAAATTTTTCCGATTTTACAAAGAGATCTCATCAAGGGACCTTAACTAATAAAAAAAATATCTTAGACTTCTCTTACTACACAAAGTTAGAGAGGAATGTTTCACTAATTTTTTCTTAATGTAATTTACCCTGTTTTTTTCATATTAATATTTTAGGTAAATTACACTAACACACCCTAAGGTTTATGTTTATTACAATTCTCTCCTTACATTTGGGAAATTACACTGACCTCCATTGTCAGTGTAATTATTTGACGGTGTTAACTTTTAAGTTAAAATGACATATTTACCCTTAACCTTTACATATACTTTAAAGGGTAAATTACATTAACACCCCCTGAGATTTCAATTTAATACGGATCTCCCCCTGACATTTTAAAAAAACTAATTTAATAAAAATAAATATGGAGAAATATATTTAATTTGTAAAAAATTATTTCTAACCACTCGAAAGATAAAAATTATATAAAAATGATAAATATTTTTTATTTTTTATTTCTTAACCAAATTAATTTTAATCTTTAAAAAAAAATCTAAAAATCAAACCATACATAGCCTAAGAATCTTTTGATAAGTCATTTCTTACGTTGGTAACTTATTTAATTATTTGTTAATTTTACGACATTTTTACATCTGAGGCATATTTGGTAACCATTTCATTTTCAATTTATATTTACAAAAATTAAAAAAACTGTCATCAAAACTTATTTGATATTTTTTTTTGATTTATAAATGGTTGTCTCAGTTTGTAAATTTGAAAAAAAACGTAAATTCAAAAAATGAGTTCACGTTGGTTTTTAAATAGAAATTTAAAATTTTGACTAACAAATTTTTTTTCAATTAATTTTTGTTTTCAAATAAATTTTTTTTCAATGAATTTTTTTTTAACTAATACTAACCGATGGGGCAATTGGTAATGCTACTTTAAACCTTGGGGAGATAATTGTAATTTCTAAAATGTGAGAGGTGTCAATATAGTTTACCCAGTGAGGGTAAAATTAGTATTTAAAAAAATTAAATTGCTGACATCAACAAAATCTGTTAGTTGACTTAACAGTCAACTAATTGAGGGAGCAATCTGTAATGAAATTTTAAATCTCAGGGAGGGGATGTGATTTTCAAAAAGTGAGGGGGGAACTATAATAAATATAAACCTCAGGGGGTGTCAATATAATTTATCCTAATATTTTTTATCTACCCATCTAAAAAAACATTTTTTTCTGTACAAAATATGTAATATTACTTTAAAAGTACGTAACATTATCACAATAATACGTAACTTTATTATTGAATCATAAATTATCATAATTATTCTAAAAAATTACATATTATTTATTATAAAATTACGCAATATGTAAGGGGAAAAAATGCTTGTATATGGGAAGTTGACTTTAAAGGTTAGTTATTGAAATTTTCTTATTTATTAACCAAATAAAGTATAATATTAGAAATAGCCATAAAGTCTGATACATTGCTCCGATAGTCAAAAACAAACAAATAAAAAAATAAATAGAGCATAACCATATATAGATTAAAAATAAAAAAATAAAAAATTCATATGATGATATTTGTGTTAGGGAAAATATGTGATTCCCCATAAGTAAATCAATCAATAGGAATAAAAACTAAGGTTTGATAAAACAAAACCCTAGATTCACAATATATATATATATATTGTTTTGTGTGTGCCGAAGGTGAAGGAGCAGCAGCGGCCTAATATATTTGTTTTTCCAAAGTTGAGTGGAGTGGTAACCAAACATTGATATTGGGTGCTTTGATTCTTTTCAAGTTGGTGCACTGTTTTGTGTGGAACAAGTTGGTGAATATTTGGTTAGTTGGTTTGGTTCGTTTTCGGTGTTGATTT